TGGCCCCGCGGAGGGGGATGGGGCCAGAGATGACTAGGATTTTGGGGGGCTAGGCAAGAAGGTTGGAAGGAGAAGGTCGGGGGCGAGTTGAGAGAGGTTGGGTCAGATGGGCGTTGGCGGGGAGGTTGGGTCTTGAAGGAAAGGATGGGGTGGGATCACGAAGAAGAGGTTCTTTGGGGCAGTCTGGGCGCGCGCGACGTGTAGGGGTTACTCAGGCCGACGGGGGTCGCAGGAGCCACTTAAATCACGCTCCAGGGCGCCTTCTCTGGAGACAACTGTATCTAAATCACTTGGGATGCTTATGTAGAATGGCAGTTACTGGGCCCCACCCTTCATCCACCGAATCTGCAGCTCCTGGGACAGGAATTCGCATTTTAAGGAGCCCCCCACTTCCGCGATTCCGAAGTCCGCTAAAGTTTGGAAAGCGCTGATTTACATAGCAAATTGGTTTTGTATATGGCCTTGCTTTCTCCTGGGAGGAAGACCTGTCTTCATCGCCACTACTGGGTACACACTGGAGATTTTCTGCAAGTGTTCCTATGGGGTGCTGCCAAGGTGAGGGAGGGGTGTCAAGAGAAGGGATGCAAGCTGCTTTCTGAGATGGTGAGTGAGGTGAGGCAGGTAGAGAGATGAGGGTCAGAATGAGGCCACCGAGGCCCTTCACCTGGTTAATTGGGACTGACAGTAGACCTTGGGGCCACAGTGGCAGGGCTGGGCTGCTGCTTGTTTCCTAGGCCCCAAAGGTCCCTGAGGTTTATGTGGAAAGCAGGTTTGGCCTTGGTTTTTCGGCCAGGGAACATGAGGTTAAGGGAGCAGCAGGAGTGCCACTTATTGTAGTTTAAGGTGCACAGAGGAATGCTTTTCATCTGAGACCTTTGACTTTCCAGGAACCATCAGTGCAATTTGGAGATTTGGAAAGGAATAGGCCTTCTGTGAATGATCTGTCTTGGGGAATTAATTATTTTTTTTTAATTGCCATTCTTCTTCCTTTCCTGGGTGTGTTCTGAGGCTTCCATTCCTATGGCTTGTCACTGTTGGGTTATAAATAGCTTCAGCATATCAGGTGAGGCCCCTTCACTGTCTGCTTCGGGACCTCATGTGCACAGACTGTGTTGTTTGTTTTTAAGGCGATGCTTTGTTCCAGATTTGGGGCTGAGACGAGCTGCTAGGACAGGTGTACACATCTATCAGTTCTTGTTCAAGGTTACCAAACCATCTACAACAGTGGTCCTACTTTACATTAACAGTGCTCACAAAGCACTTTGACAGAATCTTATTTAGTGTTCCACAAGTCCTATAGGGTATTATCTCTACTTCTCAGATGAAGAAAGTTGAGGCTCAGAGATATGAGAATGCTTTCTCAATGTCACATAGCTAGGCTTTCTAAGTCTCAGTCTGGTGCTCTTCACTGGATCCCTGGCAACCACTGAGGTCACTCCTTGTGACCTGAGTGATGGGCCTTGTTCTTTATTATCTCTTACAATTAAACCTCCAGCTTATGAAAACACTGAGGCTAGGCAAAACCTGGAACTTATTGTTACTTGTCCTTTGGTTGGAGTGTTTTCCTGTCTTCTCCCTTCTGTCTCCTTTGATCCCATGACCCCGCCCAATTGGATCACAGTCATTTTGGAACAGAACATAGAGTCATGATCTCCAGGGAGGAGAACAGTGAGGCCATCTGGCCCACCCAGCCCACCAAAGCTTAGCTTTTTTACTTCCCTGGTACAGAAGGCAGTTGCAAGAGTTCAGGTTAATTCATATTAGAAGCCATAACCAAATTCTGTTGAAACCTCCATCTTTTTAACTCACTGGGTGTGTTCATTTTTATTGTCCCAACAGACTGTGTTTTGGCTGGCTATGGTCTAGGACCATGCATGACTGGAGTATTTCCAACATAATCATATTCGATTTCTCTTTTTCACTTCAGAATCCATAGTTCAAAGTTGTCTACCTCAATTTGAAAACCTATGAACTTGTCATGATTTCATCTCCCACTTTCTTGATTAGTCTCCCTGTCACTTTGATTTTCTTCCAACCTTGTCACATTTCTCTCGTCTTTTTGTCCTAATTTGCTCTTTCTTGGATATCCATGTATGGTAACTTTGTGACTGAGACAATTAGGTGGGATCCGGTCCCTGCTAATTGATTAGTTTTGCTTAAAATGGGAGTGAGCTTTCTTCTTCAGCTCCACCCTCTCCTTTTTTCCCAGAAAGTCTTGTCTGCTTATTCAGGGATAGACAGTCTCTTGAAATGGTTGATCTGAAAAAGGTCCTGAAAAGACAGCTCCAGGCCCTCTGTATCTGATAAACCTACAGTGAATCTGTTTGCAAACTCAGGGATTTTCATTCAGTATATATATTTTCTCATTCCTGTGGGCCACCATCTGCTTGCTCTTGCCTTGGCCCCAAGATCTAGAAATGCATCAGACACAGTCCCTGCCCTCAGTGAGCTCACAGCAGTAATGAGTGCCTACCACTTGCCAGGAATTCTACAAGACACTTTCAAATGTTATCTCTAGTGTACACCAAAGTTGCATATCACAGCAACTGGGTGGCAGAGCTGGGATTCAAGCCCTAGGCTGGGTTGCTATGGAGAAGCATAGCAGAGGGGACAGGAGAGAACACAAATATTCTTGGCCTGGGGAATCAGCTCTTTCCTATTATTTGGATAGGATATCAGGAAGGCTCAGAAACTCCCATTTCCTCCTTATAGCTTTTCTCTGGCAGATGCTAATCCCACAACTCATTATGAATTAACCCTGGGACCACATTAGGACTTGGAGCTTGTGACCATTCTGGGAAGTCCTGGCACAGATGAGGGCAGGCTGCTTTCTCTAAAAGAGACCAGTGGGCTTTGGTCAAGCACCGGGTTATAACTGGTGAACACAGTGGGCTCAAAAAGATGAGCGTCCCTGTGATGTTCATTGTTCGCCTCCTGGGATTGAGTTAGGCTCTTGTGTGGTGTCTCATCACAGATTTTGTGTCTACAGATAAGGAAAAGGTGAAGGAGAAGCTGGAGGAAGACGAGGCTGCGGCAGCCAGCACCATGGCCGTTTCAGCCTCCCTCATGCCGCCCATCTGGGACAAGACCATCCCATATGATGGCGAGTCCTTCCACCTGGAGTACATGGACCTGGATGAGTTCCTGCTGGAGAATGGCATCCCCGCCAGCCCAACCCACCTGGTTCAGAACCTGCTGCTGCCTGTGGCAGAGCTCGAAGGGAAGGAGTCGGCCAGCTCGTCCACGGCGTCCCCACCATCCTCCTCCACCGCTGTCTTTCAGCCCTCCGAAACCGTGTCCAGCACAGGTTGGTGAGGGGCCTTTGAATAGGACCAACTGCCCTGCCCAAAGACTTCTCGTTCTGCGTTTGTTTTCTCAGTGAAGCTATGTGGCCCGCATGCACTTTGCCACAGATTATTGGGACGCTCAGGCAATAATAATAATAATGCCAGCTAACATTTATTTAGCAGTTACTGTGGGCCGCGCATTAACATGTAATCCTCACAAGAACCTTATGAGATTGATACTATTATTGTGTTTTATAGGTGAGGAAACTGAGAACTTAAGTAACTTCCCCAAGGTCACACAGTTGGTAGGTAGTAGAAGCAACACTTGAACCCAGAATGTCTGACTCCACAGCCAGGAACTGCTTTGGCACTGGGGCGAAAAAGGCATCACCTTTGGGGTCCTTTCTTTGTCCCCTTGTCCTTTTTCTGTTTTACCTCTGAGGGTTGGGTGGTTGGTTTTCATGCTCCTCAGTCATGAACCCTCCAAGAAGACATGGCCCCTGTTTCAGGGGTCTCTGCAAAGCTTTCTGCAGGCTCAGTTACAGGCATACAGGCCAATGGCTCCTGGAAAGACCCCAGGAGCTGGAGTGGAACCCAGGGACCCCATTCCCCCAAAATTCTCATGCTTTATTTTTTTAATTTACCTTTATTGTGGGAAGATTTTCAAATACAAGAGTAAGATTACTGTGATGAACCTCTGTGTAACCATCACTCAGCTTCTATAATTCTTAACTCATAACCAACCTTGTTTTATGTAACCTTTTCCATTCTCCTTACCTGATTATTTTCAGTCAAATCTTAGACATTACATTATTTCATCCATAAATATTTTAATATGTATGTAAAATATAATGATTTGTTACGAAATATAACAAAGTCACCAATTTTACATCTGAACTTGACAGTAAATCCATCAGCATTCAAATTTCCAAAAAGTCATCTCATAGATATTACTGTTGTACTGTTTTTTTGAATCGGCATCCAAATAAGACCCACACATTTTTTTGGTTATGTCTCTTAAATCTCATAAGCTATAGGGTCCCCTCTCCTTTTTTCCTTTGCAGTTTATTTGTTGAAGAAACAGACTCATTTGTCCTGTAGAGTTTTACACATGTTGGATTTTTCTGACTATATTCTTGTAGTGCCATTTAACATGATTCTCTGCCTTTTGTTGTTGTTGTTGTTTCTATAAATGGGTTAGATCTAGAGGCTTTAGCTGATTCCAGCCAAATTCTTGTTTGAAGGCAGCTTTTTTTTTTGTGCTGGTCAGGTTGTCCTAGAAGGCTGGTTTCATGTGTGGGTAGGAGACAGAGCTGGAAGTGAGCCCCAACTTGTACCTTAGACCACCTAGGTGGCATTCTCCTTTGATTTTGTTTTTACGTAAACCTTCTTAATGAAGTATAGTGTACAAAAGTGCCCACATCATAAGTACTCCACTCAATGAATCTTCACAAAGTAAAGCTGCCCATGTGACTACCACTCAAATCAGGAGATAGAATTCTCTTGGTGTTCCAGAAGTGCCTTGTGACCCCTATCAAGTCATTACTCCCCAGAGGTGATCACTATCCTTATTTCCATCACCAGAGTTTCCTTTTGCTTGTAGTGGAACATTCTGTAAATGGAATCGTATATTACATCCTTTGTTTTTAACTATTATACATTGATTACATTTATGCTCACTTACAGCTTTCTACTCTCTATACTCTATACTCACTTTGCTTCTGCAGCACGTATACTAACAATATAGATTTTCAGAACATATTTATGGAATACTGTGACACAGAAAAACCACAATATAGACGAAGTAAGATCTATATTGAAGAATTGTACACATGGTAGGAATGAAGGTAGAATTTCCTCTCTTAATTTTCCAGTTCCTTCTGTAGGAAAGATGAGTAGTATGTATTCTTTCATATCTAGCTTCTTTCCTCAACTTTGTGAAAATCTTTCTTGTTGCCTGTAGCATAGTTTATTCACTTTTATCACCAAATGGTATTCCATTGTATGACCGTACCTCAGTTTATCCGTTCTGCAGTTGATGGACATTTGAGGTGCTTCTAGTTTCGGGTATACACAACACTGCCATGAACATTTGTGTGCATGTCGTCTGGTAAATATTTGTGTACAAACCAGTTGGGCATTTACCTTGGAGTAGAATGCCTGGGTCATTGGATGTGCATGCATTCAGCTTTTGTAGCTACGGCCAGATAGTGTATGAAGTGGTTGTGCCCACCAGTAGAGTGTGGGGCTTCTAGTTGTCAGCCTCTGGTACCTTTGCTATTTGTTCTGCAGGTATAGAGTTGGCAGCCACATTGGTCCCTGGTCATTCACTCCTCTGATGCTCAGCCCTCTTTGTAATTAACCTCTGCAATTGGATACAATGAGTTTATGTGCATGACTCAGTGAACACCTAAGTTTGAATAATGTCATACTTCTGCTCAGAACCCTCCAATGGCTTCTCCCATTTCAGGGGAAAGGTCAAAATCAGTAGCACTATTGACATTTGGACCAGAAGATTTTTTTTGTTGGAGTAGAGGGAGGGACTGTCTTATATATTATAGGATGATTAGCAGCATCCTTGGCTTCTACCCAGTAGAACACCCTCCTCCCCACAATCCCTACATGGCCGATGTCCCCTACAGGACAAAATTGTCCTCTGTTGAGAACCACTGCTTTATTGGGACTAAAGGCCCTATATTTTCTGTGCTTGACATGTCCCATTACCCTTCCCTATCATTCATTCACTCCAGCTACATTGGCCTCCTTTGCTGTTCCTCGGACGTGTCGGTATGTGCCTGTGTACATACCAGTACACTCCACATTCACTCTTTTCGAAATGTTCTCTCAAATATTCACATGGCATCTCACGCTTTTATAGATATTTTAAATTTATCTTGTGTGTGATGTCAGCCTTCCCCACTAGAATAGCACTCCACAAAGACAAGATTTTTACTTGTTTTATTCATTGCTTTGTCTTTGCCAGGATAGCGCCTGGCATGCAGTAGGTGTTCAATAAATTTCTACTGACTGAGAAATTATTTTGTGTACTTTTAACAGTAGCATTGAATGAGTAGGCCAAAGTTGTAGGGTTTTTTTTTTTATTTTTTATAACTTATCTCTAACAACCTTTGAATTCTGAAAGTTCCTTTAATCCAATGTCCACTATAAAGTGGCAGCCAGGGAGGGTGGAGAACAAGGATTCAGAGTCAGCCAGACTTAGACTCAAATTTTGTTTCAGTCACTAATCACCTGTGTGTCTCTGAGAATACCATGTTGTTTCTCTGAGCCTTAGTTTCCTCATCTGTTAAATAGGCTAATACCCATCTTGCTTTCAGAGTTGTTATAAAACTAAATGAGCACAATGACTGATACATCTCTAGGTATCCAAAAATGGAAGGCATTTTGTTATTCAGTCTGTGTCCCTAACCCATTATAGCTCATGGAGAGATTCAGCTGTTTCTTATTACTTGAGAGTTTGAAACCACAGGAAGTTATGGGGGTATAATGATTTAGTGTTTGCTTAACATTTCTGGGGGGAAGAAACAATCAAAATATCCTGTCTTTTTCAAGAACCTCTGTCTCCTTTTGAGCATTTTGTCTATGAAGGAAAGAATTCTTTCCACATGTGTATTGCTGGATTGAATTGTGTATGCCCATCTGGCTTAGGGGCTGTCAGTGGTGCGGTCTTTCTTTCCTCCAAGTGGCAGTGGCTGTGCAACATTGAGATTCAAGCAGGTGTCTGTGTGTGATGCGATCTTCACTGTCCAGTGGGCTGCTTCGGGACCCCTGCTTCTGTGTCTTTCAGAGTCCTCCCTGGAAAAGGAGAGAGAGACACCCAGTCCCATCGACCCCAACTGCGTGGAGGTGGACGTGAACTTTAATCCCGACCCTGCGGACCTAGTCCTCTCCAGCGTGCCGGGCGGGGAGCTCTTCAACCCTCGGAAGCACAAGTTTGCAGAGGAGGATCTGAAGCCCCAGCCCATGATCAAAAAGGCCAAGAAGGTCTTTGTCCCCGATGAACAGAAGGTAACCTGGTATCCATAGAGATGAAGGTACAGCATTGGTTCAAGAACTGAGGGACTGTGCTTCCTCATGGTGGATTTTATCTGGAGGCTCCTCCCTCCCGTGGACCCCATTTAAAAAGGCATGAGTTCAGAGCACAGAGCCATATCCTGCAGCAATTTGTAGAAGGAAAGGGAGTCAGGTGTCATTTGGCCCCAGCATGGCCTCCTGTAGCTTCTGTTTCCTTACCAGCCGGTGACCATGTCGATGTCCCTGCTTCCCTGGCCTTAGCCCAGCCTTTGGGCAGGAGCTCACTAGGCCACAGGAACTGGGCTGAACAAGCCCTTGCTTTGAAGGACAAAAGATGGTCGTATGTTGCCATCTCCAGGGATGAGCAAGCAGCTTTCGGGCTGATGGTTTTATAGGAATTGGGAGGGGGAAGGAAAGGAGGATTTTGCAGTTTTTCCATCTTCTGTGGGAAACTTACAGGAAGGACTTTTCATTCAAGCTTTGGAATCAGGCGGACCTGGGTACAGAGCCCATCTTATTACCTAGAACTAGCTGGGCCTCAGGTTCCTCATCTGTGAAATGGGAATAACCATACTTGCCTCTCAGGAGGTTGAGGCTTTCAGAATAATGACGATGAAAGTGCTGTGCCTTCATGTGATCCTTACTGTAGACCAGGCACTGTTATGAGCACCTTGTACATATTAACTCATTTAATCCTCAAACAAATTTATGAGGTAGTTACTGTTATTAGCCCCCATTGTAAAAATAAGGGACCTGAGACATTGAGAGGTTAAGGAATTCACTGCTAGTAAGGGGCAGGACCGAGATTTGAACTCAAGACTGGACCTTACCTGCAACTGAAATGGAGGCACAGTGTAGACAGTGTGTTTATGTCGCAGTGGCACAGAGCAGGCTCCCAGGAAGTGGAGTCTCGTTCCTTCCACCACTTCCTACCAAAGGGCCTTGTAATGCACCCTGGGGAGAGGGCAGGGCCCCTCGCTGTCCTTGGCACATGCAGCTCCTTCCCCAGGTCCCAGCTTGTTTTCCAGCTGTCCCAGATGAATGATAAGAGGAATCTGGGGTGCGCAGTGCTGCAAGAGGGGAAGGGTTGGGGTTTCTCATGGGGAAAGAGGAGAGACCCACAGAGGACACTTCCCCACAGGATGAAAAGTACTGGACAAGACGCAAGAAGAACAACGTGGCAGCCAAACGGTCCCGGGATGCCCGGCGCCTGAAGGAGAACCAGATCACCATCCGGGCGGCCTTCCTGGAGAAGGAGAACACGGCCCTGCGGACGGAGGTGGCTGAGCTACGCAAAGAGGTGGGCAAGTGCAAGACCATCGTGTCCAAGTACGAGACCAAGTACGGACCCTTGTAACCCGTGCCCTTGCCCGGGTGGCGCTGCCTACACCTCAGCCCTCTGCCTAGGGGCTCCCTGAAACCCCACACACATGTGGAGACTTATGACTCGTCACGGGCAAATGATGGCACAGCTGCTCCAGGAGCGGTCACGTTCAGCTTCATTATCACATGGCCGGCGCACGTGGCGACTTCCCTGGGGAGCCAGCCTCCTCACTGGTGGAGATGCGAGGGAATCGACACAGACGGGTGCATCAGCCTTAGTTTCTATTCTCGGATGTCCCAATCGAATCCGAAGGGGACCTCTGGGGCACATCTTTCACAGGGCGCTCAGGCTGCCCTGACTCTTCCTCAGCCTCCAGCCTGGGCCACGGAGGCCTGTCTCTGCAGAATGAGTCCATCGTTGTCGCCCTTACGTCTTCTCAGGTAGCAGGGCGCATTTCCACGTGGGCTGTGTCTGTGGTCCACCTCACCCTCCCCGGAAAGTCTTTGAGAGGAACATCCGTTCCCACCTCCCTCAGAGGTACAGACATACCAGCTCCTCCGTAGTGTCTGCATGGGTGCCAGGCCACAGGAGTAGAGTCTCTGCACAGCCCGGGATGGGATTTGGGTTTGGGGCCTGCAGCAGAAGTGCAGCCAACCATTCTTAGGTCCCACACCCCTTTATTCCTATGGCTCCAAGGCCTGGAACCAGGGAGGAGGCGCTGGCGACTGGCTGTCTCTGCATTTCGTCTGCAGTGGAGGAGAGACTCCAGGGCGGCCAGCCTCTGAGCTCTGATCACAGTGCATCTCCTCTTCTTCAGGTCACTCATGGAGGCCAGCTGAATCTTGTTTGTCCCACTAAACTGGGCCACTGAGCCTGCTATTTCTTTTTACCCAGTGACCAATCTCAGATCTTAGATTTAAAAGGAAAACTCCACCTCATCTAGGAAGCTTAACTTCCTGGAGCCAGGATGTACCTTCCGCATGGTGTTTAGAAACCCAGCCTCCACAGCCCCTTCCACTGTGGGCGGGAGCTGGGGCATGTGTTTCCGTTTCTTCTTGCTCTGCCCTCTGCTGTTGGCCAGGCCAGAGGAAAGCAGAAGAGGGCTTCCCAGGTCCCACTTCAGGATCTCTCTCCCGTGCCACCTGCCTAGAGGGCACCTCCTGGGCAGGACACCTGGTCAGGGGTCACCAGGATCGCAGCACAACTCATGGAATAGCAGGTACTCGGGACATTTACATGGGCTAGAGTCCTCTGGGTCTGGGTCCCTGGACACGTGGGCCACCACACAAGCCTGGCCACGGGGTGGCGTGGAGGCGTCCTAGCAGCCGGCGCTGTTCCACAGCTGCTTTTTCTTGTGTCCAGCTGAACTTGTCCTTTTTGCTCTTCCCGGAGATTCACCGAGGGGCTCAGTGGAACCCTCTGCTCATTGCGGTCAGCCGGGGCACCTGCAGATAGGTGTATTTATTGGCTCAGGGCCAAGCAGCCTGTGTAAGGGGGTCAGAAGTGACGGGCGTACTTTGTCGTGCTCACCACTGGCTTTATTTAAAGTGGTGGCTCCAAGACCCGGGCGCCGACCCCCAAAGACTTTTCATAATGCGTTAGGACCAGGGAAAGCTGCCCACTGGCATGGACTGCACCCCAGGGAATGCCATGGCCCTCTGGGGTCCTGCACATCTGCCTCTCTGGGGACTCGACAAGGGTCCTTGAAGCTAAGGGAGACCACCCCCTCCCTCCAGGCCCCCCTGACTTTTTCTTTGTGGTTCTATAAAAACCACGTTCACACTTTTCACTCTATTGTAACCACAACAGGGCAGTTGCATCCGGCATGTCAGTGCCCTGCCCCGGGCAGCTCGCCCGCCCGGGCCCTCCCTCTGGCCTGGCTACCCACCAAGAGAGCACTTCTCATTTTGTTATTGGTAGAAGAGCCTCTAGCTTAAAAGCTCTTCATTTTCTTTGGCCAGAAAGTGTATGGTTTATGTCTTTTCACTGTTTTTTTTTTTTTTAAAGGATAGAGACTAAATCTCTGGATGGCGTCCATGTTCCAGCCCCAGCGGGTGGGATGATGGCCAGCTGTCTCTCCTCTTTGACCCTGCCCACTGCCTATTCAGTGCCCGCTCCCTCTCCTCCCCAGGGCAGTGGGTGAGTGGCTCCTTCCCAGAGTGCTCACTTGGAAAGTGTGTGGCTGTTGGCCTCTTTTAGAAGAGCCCCTTTGAGCCAGGAGCCTGGCAGGGACAGGAAGGAGATGTCCATGGAGGTTGACATGCTGGGGAAAAGGAGTGCTCAGGGAAGCATGTCTCCTTCCCAGGCCTAGAATCATGTTTTGGCAGAAGGAGAGGGTTGGTGCCTGTTAGTTTCCACTGTGGAATTGGGAGTCTCCTTGACACCCTCCTGGGCCCTCTTCATCTTGGGGCTGACAGCCAAAGGCTGAAGCTCCTGTGCTCAGATCTCTGACATTCCCTAAAAAGCACTGGAGGCCAGAGAAGTCACCATGAACAGTTTCCATGGGTTTGCTCTGGGCTGAGAAGCATCATCGCTTCCTAAGCACCCTGTCTTCAGATTCATGGGAGACTCAGCGCAACCTCAGAACGAGCTAGGAAGCTGCAAGAGTATATGCGATTAACGTATATATCTAGAAATAGAAGTGTGTGTGTGTATGTATATATACACACACACACACGTATTTAGAGAGAGTGAGAACTTTCACAATGGCCAGCAACCTTGTGGAGGACCTAGGTAACTTACCCTTGGCCAGTGGAAGGGGTTTGCCTGTCTGGGTCCCGAGGGTGGGGAAGCCACTTAGCAGTGAACCTTGACTATGGCCCTGGGCGAGCAGCTCCTGTAGTCCTCCAGCCCGAGGCAGGGTGGCTGGCATGGGACCCAGCAGAAGAGGGCGCCTTTGTGCTGGGCATCTCGCCATCCAGGGCCCTGGGAGCTCTGCTCCACTCAACACAAAGGGCTGAGAGCCCCTGGTTTTCATGGCAGAACCCACCCCAGAGCTCCTTTAACATCTGTTAATTAAGTGCAATAAATTTTTCTAGAAAATGGCAAAGATGACTTCCAGGTGGACATTGCTGTCTTGTGGTGTTGGGGATGCCGGGACACCACTTGGTTTTATTTTTCTAAGTGCATGTGATGTGATAGAGTGTGTGGGGCTCTGCGTCCTCCCCTGGGAGCTGGCATTCCCCTGGGCCCCTCTTTCTTACCTTTGTTGGGGGAAGGAGGCAAGGAGAAACTCCTTCTTCCCAGGTGGCAAGGGCAGAAGCAGACCGTAGCCCGTTGGCCTTATGTGCGTATGTGCGTGCGCGTGTGTCACTGCTGGTGGGCCGGAGTGATGTGGGGAGGGAAGCCGGGAATGTAACCTTTTCAAAACAGAATTAAATATTTTGAGATGAGAATTGTGGGGCTGTCTTTTCTGTCCTCCTCCCTGCTTTCTGTGCTTCCTGTGTGTGTGTTGGCCAAAGAGCCTGAGGGTCATCCCTGGCACCCCTACAGCAGCATCTGGGTCCCCTTGGCCAAGTCACCTAACCACTCTGTGCCCCATGTCCCTCGTTCGTCAGATGGAAGTCACTCCTGCCTGCTTACTTCACAGTGTATTGAGAAAGAACAAGTATCGGACCAAAAGCAGTTTGAACAAATGAAAGTGCTGCACAGCTGGTGGAGAGACAGGGAATTGCTCAAGTCACCCGATGGCACCTATGTAGAAAGAAAAAGAAAAAAGACTGGAAAAGTCGGGTCTTGGTGAATGAATTCCTGGGGTTTTCCTTTTCTCTTTTTGCCAGATGTTCACCCTTGTAGGGCACCTGCACTGTCGTTACCGATTCAGCACTGGTGCCCCCAGGTCCCCTGCTGAGGGCTGGCCTGGGCTCCCTAGGGGCTTCCATCTTGAGCGAGGCGCACAGCAGGGTGCACTGCCCTTGGCACACTTGCTGCAAGTCCCCTTCCCTCTCCCCAGCGCCACCCCCTCTTCACCCTTCTCGCTCCGCTGCCTCCTCAGCGAGGCCTGGAAGGGCTGCCTTGCAGCAGAGACTGCTCTGTGCCGCCTCCCTGCCCGGCATGGTGTTAGTGCGCAGGCTCCCTGTGCTGGAGGAACCAGGAACCATTTGTAATTTCGTTTCTAAGGAGAATGACATGTGTTTGGAGTTCGGAGATGGGCTGGCAACGTGGACTTTTTTAAATGGCCATTTTACAAATAAATATTGAGGCTCAGAAAAATAAAGTGATATGCCCCCAAATCACAGCAGCAGAGCTAAAATTCACATCCAGAGTGGGTTTCAAATTTGCCAACTGAAGTTCTTAGAGCAGTAACAGCAGGCAGACTGCTCTCAGCTGGGATCAGGGCGGAGTCTCATATTCCGCCTCCTTACAGTTTACAGAGCCTGCCTGCTCAGGCTACCCCTCAGTCCCGCTCTGCACCTACTGCATCCGTATGTGTAGAATGGGATGCCAGCCTCACCAGGTGCTCAACACACGGCAGCTGCCCTTGTGGAGATGGTGTAGAAGGTACTGACCTACAAGGAGATGAGAGCCCTTCATGCCTAGCAGCTGTCAACCATCGGGGAGGCGTGTCCACAGGGTGGCATGGGATGCAGCCAGGGTCACAGGCTCTGCGGCCTTGAGCGAATTACTCCACCTCCCTGAGCTATTATTTCTCTGTATGATGCTACACAGGTAATGCGTGAGTGCCTGACAACGCAGCTCTGCCTCCTACCTCCCAGCTCCCCAGAGGACAGATTTTCAAAGCTAAACACCTGCCCCCTTCCCTGACTGTTCCCATCTACCAGACAGCCCTCATGCACCTCTCGCAGCTGTGCCAGGCCGACCCAGCTGGCAGCTCCTGACGTCAAAAGCTAATCCGGGAAAGCTGCCAGCCAGAGATAGGGGTGAGCAGCAAAGGAAATCAGAAACAGGTTTCAAGGTGGGTGTCCCCAGCCAATTCCCCCCGCGTTCTCATCAGCTTCTCGCTTTAGCAAACCCAACCACGCAGGCTGATGCCTGGACCCGCTGGAGCTGGAGCCTTTTATTGCGAATGGTTTCTCTGTCAGCAGGAGCTGGGGCTGCATGGTGCACCATGCTTAGCCTCCCCCAGCTCCGAGGCTGCTGGTGTCTCAGGCCTGGATTCTAGGCTGACCTCAAGTCCTGACTGGGGGACATTGGGGGGTGGAGCTGATGCTGCCTCCAGGCCCGTGCTGGCCCCGTGCAGGCCGCAGAGAAAGCAGAGGAAGGCAGGCAGCTGGGCTCTCAGAGCCCAAGCTGGTGCACCGTCCCCGCTCCCTTCTGTCTTCCTGCTTCGCAGCACCCGACGATGGGTGTCCCCATTTTACAGAGGACGTTGAAGTTCAGTGAGGTCTTAGGCAACTGGCCCAAGACCTCACAGCTGCTAAGTAACAGAGCTGAGATTCCCCCTAGGCTTGGCAGCTGCTAAGCCCAAGCTCCTTATGCCATCTCAGAGATCTTCCAGTCAAGGTGCTGGTACTGCCTGGGCCCGTCCATGCTTGAAGGACATCTCCGCTATCTGCCTGCCTTGGGCCAGCGGAAGTCAGCCAGTCAAAGCAGCCAGACCAAGGCCTGGTCTGACATCTTCCATGGGCTGCCCCAGCCACCCTGGCCAGCAGCAACAAGGCCCAGACCCAGCTATTGATGGTAGAAAGGAAAAGACTACCATTTGTCCCACATGCTGGGGGCCAGGCCCTTCGTGGTGACCCCATTTGGTAAATGTGGAAACAGGTTCAGCATGGAATTAACATCCCCAAGGCCACACTGCTTCTCAGCCCACCTTCCTTCCAACCTCTTCCTTGGTCCCTACCACCCCTAGACCCCTCTCTCACTTCCTCATGGCATGGGTGCCAGGGTCAGAGGCTTTGGACAACAAGGACCTTAGAAATGATCGCATCCAGGTCCTCCCTGAATGGATGGGAAAGAGACCCAGAGAGAGAAAGGAGTTATCAAGGTCACACAGCAAAATGAGACTTGGGCTAAGGGATCCTGCATCTCCACACTTCTCATCTCCCTGGAATCACACCAAAGTGAGTGGCTCTTCACTAAGGTTGCTCCTACTCCTACTGGACCATGAGCTATTCACAAAAACCTGAGCTCACATGGGGTCAGAAATCAGGCCTCATCCCAGGCCTCATCTCCAACTTGCTGTGTGACTTCCTGCAAGCCACATCCTTCTCTGATCTCCTTATTCTTCATCGGTGCCATGGGGATCAGGATCGATCTCCTGCCCACTCATCAGGGTTGCTGTGAGGTTCATATGAGATGCCGAATAGAAGCCCCTTACAAACTGCAAGGGATGGGACATGGCACAATGTCTCAGTCCAACACATCTGGGACCCAGAATGGGATGAAAGGTGCCTTGCCCCACCCTTCCCCCTACATCACACACAAATCATCTTCCTCACAGACTTGCCAATGCCCGCAATTCTACTATTAGGAAAGATGGCTGGAGAGTCAAGAGTGAGGTAGGTGGAGGCAGGAAATGGGGCTGGAAGTCAGCAGGGCCAGGCTGCTCAGGGATGAAGAACATGGCTTTTTCCTGGGGTTTGAGACCAGGACTGCTTTGAACCCTGTCTGTGGCAGGGCTGGGCCATGCCCTTAACCACAGGACTCTGTCTGAGAAGCTGCTAAAACTGAGCTCAAATCACCCTGAAACCCACCCCTAGAGCCTTGCTGAGGCCCCTAGTGTGAGCTCCAGGGCTGTGAGCAAAGCAAGTGGAAGCTCAAAGCTGGGGAGTCCTGAGCCAGGAGCCAGTGACTCGCTGGGCTCCTCCTTGCTCTGGCTCTCAGTTTCCCCATCTGCCCAAGAGGACTGGAAGTGTGGCTACCGGCCCTGAGGTTCGGACTTGGAAACACCACCACGCCTCTGTCCGAGTTTGGGCAAACCCAGCCTTCCCCTTTCCTCTCGGCCTCACGAACTCCTGGTCATCCCTCCAGGCTCCAGTCAACTGTCACTTCTACTAACTTCACCAACACTCTTGGGGACAAGTTGCCCCTCCCTCACGATCCCACATCTTCTTCTTCAGGCCCCCAGCCAGGCCCAGTCCCTCCTCATACTCAAAGTGAAGATGCATTAAAACACTGAGTAAAACACTTAGAATAGCGCCTGAAACAGCAAGCAGCCACACAGGCCCC